CAGTGTCGGCTGGCGACCCCCAGGGGGAGGGCCTTCTCTGTGGGAGCCCCCACCCTGTGGAACGAACTCCCCCCAGAGATCCGGATTATTCCGGATCTCCCCTCCTTCCGCCGTGCCCTCAAGACATGGCTTTTCCATCAAGCGGGATTGGCCTAGGGGGGGGATTTTATAGGGATTTTAAAGGGATTTTATAATTTTTTAATACAGGTTGTTTAATATATATTTTAATTTGGCTTTTAGATATTTATTGTATAGTATTGTTTTTATTTACCTGTGAGCCGCCCTGAGTCCCTCGGGAGAAGGGCGGGGTATAAATTAAAGTAATAAATAATAAATAAATAACATTTCTCAGTAAAATACTTTATGTACTTCATTAAAATTGATACAGATTAGAAGTTTGAAGCATAAAAGAGGAATAGCCCTTGTCAATATACTATCAAAATGTCTTGAAAAGCATCAAATTGAATTTATTTTTCATTTTGTTTTTTTTTCATAATTTCTGATTTTTACTCTCTTTAATTGCTTCTGAATGTTTTTAATCAATTAATTATTTTATTTTAAAGCCTCTTTTCTGTTTTTCCTGAGAAGAATTGAACTACATAATAAGAATTCACAGCCTATAATCTGCAACACAACCTATGTCCTCTCAAGGCCAATAGTGTGGCTTCCAAAGCCTTCCCAAAAGTTGCCACCAAGTTATAATTAACTTTTCAAAATGGCAACTTTGAAACTTCATACGCATTGTTCCTAAGCAAAGCAACCTAGCTGAGCCATTGTTCATGTAGCCAGCGGAAGTTCTGTTCTGCATTTAGTTTTTAGTTATATTTTGTTCTGGATAAAACTATTTACTATTTCTAGCTTTTACTGACATTACAGAAGAAAATGTTAATTATTTAAGTAAACAATGATTGTCAATACAAATTTGTTTAAAGATTCAAAACTCAGGAAAATTTAGCAATAAAATTAATTTAATCTGCATAATGATACAAATGTTATAGGAAAACTTATAAAGAGTCATACATTATACTATTAAAGCAGCCCAGTTTATCTGTTGTGTTATGTTACCTGTGGCTTCTTGTTATGTTTCTTTTTAAGCAAGTGGGCTCAAAAACCCCAGAAAGTCAAAAGCAAACAAATCACACTCTAGCTTGTTATGTAACATCTTAGAGGATTTAGCTGCTTCTCTGAACTGCTCTGAAACCCTAACTTTTTGTTCCAAAAGCTGCATTTAGAATCATAAACTCTTATATCCAGAAACCCAGCAAATCCAAGTGTCAATCCCCAAGATCGCTTTAGGTTTGAATTCTGACATCAAGAAATCTACAAGACTGTACTGTACACCTTCCTAGAATCCTAACAGTGATTATATTGTCTTGCCAAGCAATAGGCCAGTGATGGCGAACCTTTTAGAGACCGAGTGCCCAAACTGCAACCCAAAACCCACTTATGCATCGTCAGGTGCCGGGTGGGTGTGGCCCATTGGGTGGGCGTGGCTGCGGTGGTAACAGCAGACAGGGTGGGACTAAAAAGTTCAATGAATCAATTCCAACTTTGCAAGATCTTTTTTTTTCCCACGAGAAGTTGAAATTGACTGATTGATTGAACCTTTTTTTTTTTGTACATGGCGGCCGAGGCCTAAAGCGAAAAGGTTTTATAAAACCCAGCTGAAGGCCTAGGACTGGGGCGACAGCACGCATGCCCACAGAGAGGGCTCCTAGTGCCGCCTCTGGCACCCGTGCCATAGGTTCGCCACCACTGCAATAGGCATTTATAAAGGGAAGGCTGCAGTTTTTGAACAAAGGACTAAGAGAATAAGCATTTTTTAGCTATTTGACTTCAAAATAAAGAGATTAATAAAACATCTATAATCTAAATCACCTTAAAGGTACAAAATGTGAAACATACTGTATTTTTACGATTAATTCTTGTAATTTAATGTTGCTTTCCTCAGGAAATCCAAATATCTCTTCATTGGCAATCATTATTTTAAGTTATTTGAGCTGTTGAATTTTTTACATCTGCAGGTGACTGATTTCAAAAATTATTACTTATCAAATCCTGCTCGGAAAAGGCCTTTCAAGAGAAGAACACTGAATGTGATACCAGTTGTTGAACCTCTAGAGCAGGGTTGTCAAACTGCCAGCCCATCGGCCGGTTGCATCATGTGGAGACCGCGCCCACCCCAGCTCCGGCAATGCGAAAAAAGTCACAATACGTCACGACACGTCACATCACACAGCAAGTTTGACACCCGTGCTCTAGGGTGTAATTTCATCTTTTATTACAAAGATTCTATTTCTTTTATTGCTATATTTTCACTATTTTCTTCAAACAGGAGATAAAACCAATTTCTGAATTAATCTGTGGCACTTCTCCATGAAGAAGAGCTATCACTTAAAAACATACTAACTGCGACCTAAGCAAGTATTCAGCTATACTCTTGTGTCATAATGACTACCAGTCAATGTGCTAAATATCTATACTTATATATGCCATTTAGTTGAAACCTTCATTACATTTTCTTTGGAATTAAACAACAGTCTCTAAGATTAACATATTAATTGAAAAATCTAAATAATGTGAAATAATATACTCGTCACAAACATGCACTGAGATAGAGTTTCCTTAAATACATAAAGAACTGACTGGAATTTTGTTTTGTAGAGATTTCATAAAAATGTTGTTTTACTATCTTGTCATATAGATACTTCATACTAAAACACCCATTATTTCCCACAAATGCAATAAAACAGCATTCAAAAAGTTGTTCTGCTCTCATTTAATATTCCCCATTACTCTTCTTATTCAAAACAAATTCTGACTATTTAGAGAAGCAAGGATGATGCATATACTGTATATAACATCAGTGCGATTACTTATCAAATAAAAAAAATCTTCTTGTTTCTCAGAGTATATTTTAATTGTACATGACTTAAATTCTTTCTTTTATCTATTATAATAAATAAAACACTCATAAACCAGTTTTCTCTTTAATCCATAACATAATCTAAAGTTTAAGAATGAATTTTGATTTATTCTGAAGTGAGCGATACCTAAAAATACGGTACAAAATTGTTCAAAAACATCTATATATGCCCAGAAAGATCAGGGGAATTTCAACCAAATCTTACAAGTTTTCTTTTGATTGTTTTTTAAAGTGAGGTGAGTCCAAGAAGGAAGACTGATTATCGCTAGAATTAATCAACAATACTGCTAAATAATATTCATGGAAATAAAAAATAATTAACTCATCCTTTACCTGGGAAGAAATACACTTTCAACTACATAGAAATCTTGCATAAGTACATCTCTGTCTGGTTTAGATGTAAGGTTACCCACTGTGTATCCTATTCCCAATTGTATGGCACCTTTGATAGCTGATGATGCAGTCTGCAAAAACAAATACATATTATTTTTAAAATTGTCATCTTGCAACACATAGGGGTTTTTTTTGTAACCTTATACATCTCTAAGAATATTTCAAAGTCCTGGCTTCCTCTATCTAAAAAACAAGTTGATTCATCCAAGAGCATTTCTCAGATTTTGAGACAAATGATCTCAGTACATCATACAAGTCTACCAGAAAGATTAAAAAGCATTATTTGAAACTCACAGGTCACATACTGTATGAAAAGAAAGTTCATACCTCAAAAGCTGCCTAGTAGTGAGGGTGAAAAAAAAAGAGCATTCCTCTGCCTGCACTCGCCCTTTTCACAGCAGATGGTCTACAACAAGAAAGGAAGAACTCTGGAAATCTTCCGAGTGCTGTGGAATTCTAACAGCTCCCATAAATCATTATATAATTTAAGCAGGAGAGAAAAAGGCAAAAAAAAAAAGGGAACCTCATTTTTCCAATTAATAACGCCTTCCCCTACTTTCCTTTTTGTTCCCTTTCTCCCCTTCCTTGCCCAACCGCGGGGAGCTCAGAGTCTCTAGTTTAGGAAGATGCTCACAGCCATAATTTATTTATTTATTTTATTTATATTTGAATTTATATCCCGCCCTTCTCCCGTAGGACTCAGGGCGGCTGACAATCTATTTAAAATACATACAAAACAATACAAATTTAAAATTAATTAAAAAGAATATTAAATATTTGTCGAATTTAAAATATAATTAAAACCCCCCTAAAAATTACCCTAGGCCAGTCCTGCAAGCTGGAATAACCAAGTCTTGAGGGCGCGGCGAAAGGAAGGGAGCAACAGAGGAATGGGCAAGGCAGAAGAATGAACTCGAGTTTCTAATGGAAAGAATCAGCTGACAGGGCATCACTATCATTTGTGTAAGTGAATAATTACTACTACTAAGGTGGCTGGATAAGGAAAGTAAATAGTTTCTGGGCTGAAATGCAACAGTGAAATTATACGGAGGGTCCCAGTGAACATTGTAGTTAAGGGGCCAGGCAAAGAATCACTCAGGGAAATATAGAAAAACAGCCAGTTATTGTGTTTCTGTGAATCAAGCAGGAAAATCAATATACAAAATTTATTTTTAAAAGGTGTCTTTTCATGTCTGGATGATTTTCAAAATGTGATGCTATTAAGAATGGATGATGATGATGATGATGATGATAGCTTTTGAAAAAGAGAGTGAGAGAAGGCAGAAGCTTTCTGAAAAAAACTCTATCCGCAGAAAGCTCTCAATGGTACACAGATTACAAATATGTTATTTACTAGATGAATACATATGTTCTTCAGCAGCCTAACTATTTAGACTAATATAGAATCAATCTGGTTTTATTATAAATTTTTGAAGCTAATATGGCAAGCGTCTGGCGGTATCTTCTCCACCTACAGCCAACAAAATTAAAATTATGCACTTAATTAATTAGATTGCAAACGACTTCTGGCATAAAACTCTAGAAACACAAATTCAGAAACACAAATGAAAGGATTAAGCATTTCTCTGTGTCTTTTGCTCATAGTCTAGTCTGATTTTATTGAACTTTTATAAGAAACAAAAGGAATAAATTTCAAGCCATCAACTGCTGCTTAACGCTTCTATTACATTCTGGTCGCAGAGACTTTAATAGGTGAGATTCGGTATTTTAAGTGAAAGAGATTTATTTTTTCTAAATACACTGTCTAATTTTATTTTAAACTGCAAAACAATGTATTGACAGATGACTGTTTTGTTAATTAAAAGTAACCAATTTTATAAATCACACAATCTCATCCTGTGAATGGCACAATTATATGAAATAGACAATACATTCTATTGCATTACACTCCTTCCATTTTGTTCAATCAACACACTTTGCTCCATTTGTGTCAGAACCACCACAGTGTCAACTCAAATATGGTCTTATTTAATGGCTGTACTAAGTGGAAAAAAAGGTCCACTCTTCATGAAATAAGCAGGTGCCTTTGACTTCTTACAATAAATTATAAAGACCACCTTAAGTGAATTGTAGACTGTTTCATAAAATGGATAAGAGTTTTGTTCATCTACTGAGCAACAAAAAAGTAGTTATACTAAGTGGAAGCTTTTCTATGCAATTAGCCTTTTAATTACAGAAATAAGTGACTACTGAATCTGAACGTGCAAACTATTTCTGTCTAGGAATATAGAAGAAGCAAAACTGGAAATAAAGTAAGGAATAAATCCTCAAATGTATGCTTAAATATAATAAGTAACCACTGTGTGACCTTTGAAACAATATCAGTTAAAGACTTTCCTTGAAATTCTAGTCCAAGATGCGTCAGCGTTTTTTTTTACTGAAATTGGACGTCACATAAAATCCAGACCAGCTTGGAGCCTAAGGCTTCTTTCTCTGAAACCAGTTACCAATCAAACAAAACAAAAGTCAAATAAGAGAAGCCAAAACAAATTAATTCTTGAAGTAATTAGACAAATTTCTTACATCTCTAATTTGCATAAAAATACGATACCATATGTGGTGGAAGTAATAGGGTAGTAGATGATTCGCCTTGAAGATTTGTTTTATATAGATAGGCAGATGACACAATCTTACTTGCTTTTCTAAAGATGGGTAACGTTTGTAATTTCATCCACCTGTGACAGAATGTGTAGGCATCATGATGGTAACAATTTTATGCAAACCATTTAACCAAAGTTACATAATTAGATGTGATAGACCAAGGAGGTTAGTTCGTTTTGGAAAGACCATGTTTACTCATGGATAAGAAGCCAAGAATTTTAGATGCCAGCACCCCCCAAAAAAGATTCAGCTTATCCACTGATGGGCTTATCTGTGATTTTATAATTATAATCCATGTATATTGATACAATAATGCTTTCCAAAAGTTCCTGTATTTGCAATATATGTTTGCATATAAGCCCATCCACATGAAAAAAAGGAGGTCAGCTTATCTGCAGGTGGCATGTTTTCTTCATGGTATTTTTGTTAAAAAATCTAGACTTGCTTATCTCTGGATGGGCTTATACGTCAGCAAATACAGAACATAATGTCTCAATTATGAAATTGTAAACTAACAAGCTTCATAATGTGGTTATCAAGTATGATAAACATTATTTATGACAGGAAGTCATAAATATTGGTGGACATTTCATCTTTCATTATTCATAAGAATCCCAAGAAGACAAGGCAGGTTCTTCTATACCAGAGGTCCCCAACCTTTTGAACACCAGGGACTGGTGCCATGGAGAAAGGTTTTTCCGTGGACAGGAGAGTGTGTGGTTTTGTGTGCTGCCTGCATCCCACAGATGGGGCTTTGCTTGTTTGTGCAGACCGGTTGCTGGCATGCCGTGGCCTAGTACCAGACCACGGACTGGGAGTTGGGGACCCCTGTTCTACACTGAGTTTATAATTCAGAAAGATCCTCCCCCTAAATATTCGGTAACATACAGAAGGTACTGTATCTTATTAGACAAATCTTATATTTCAAAGGATCGTGTCTTAAATCGTTGAGCTAAATTTATTGAAATGTTTAACAATTGTTTTATTGTTTCTGGATTTTGTTGTGTATAGATTTTTTTTTATTCTGGATTGTAAGCCACCCAGAATTTGGTTTAAGATAGGCAGCTATACAAATGTCTTAAATAAATAAATAAAATTTTAATTTAAAACTACCATCTTGCTCTTGATTTAGATTTACTTCCTCAAATAAATGAACTGCATCTATTAACACAATGTGGTGGCTGTTATTATTCCTAAAGTACAGTGCATGGAAAACGCTAATAGATCTCATGTGTTTTTGTATAATTATGCTTTATTTTATGGATGACTAAATGTCAAATCAAAAATTATAAAGTACCATGAGTCCTTCCTGTTTTCATACATCAAGTATTCTCAAAATAGAACAAAGCCTCTGTAAATGATGCAGTTACTGCTCGTATTACTACAGAATGAATAAAAAGAAATATTATATAAATCAAAAAGAATAATGCTAAAGCATAAGCAGCCACTTAGAAAATGTTTTAGCCTAGAAGACAGATCATTTAAGAAAAAGGAATAATCTTAAAATAGATGTAAAAGTATTCATTTTTATAAAGGAGGATTGAGGAACCCTAATCCTTTAATGCCTTTTATTTTGTGTATTGTAAGCAAGTAATTTATTGCAATCATTTAAAAGAAAAATAATTACAATAACATTAAACCGAGAAAAGAAAAAGTAACAGCTTTACCTGTGCTCAAAATTTTGTGTGAGCCAAACTGTTCTGTCTCTTAGGTTTGCATACCGATATTCTGAATATTCTCCAACTCACTTTAAAATGAATCAGCCATTTTTAAAGGTGCAAATTCAGATACATATTTTACTTCAAAGTTTAGAAGCCTGAATATTCATTAATATGACTCTGGGGACAGAAGCCCAGAAAAATTAGGTCAAAAATTCTTTTTGAGGATTGAAAAGAAAATCTGGGAAAACGAGCTAAAAACAATTTCTTTCCCAATTATTCAGAGGGTTTTTCCCTGCAGGTTTTCTGGAAAACAATCCACAAACTGGCTCAATACATTAGTTTTAGCTTACAGAACTAGAACATCCAAGTAATTACCGCTTCCTTCACCACCTTAAACTTTACAGAGTAAACACAGACTTCATTAAACAAATATTAGCTTCTATACAAGAGTGCACAACTACATCATATTTGCTGAACTGTGGGGTATGCTGCAACAGTGCAAGAGTAGCAGTAATGAAAGGGAGCTCTTTTCAGGAGAAGACTTCTCAAGCCTAGAAATGGCTCTCAGGCCAAGCCATTAAATTAATAATGTCAACAATATTCATCACTAGACATGAGCTGCTGCCTCAAGACTATGATAGAATTTAGGAGAGCCAAATCATTCAAGAAGCGTAGAATGAACTTCAAAGAGTTATTAATCTGGAAAAAATGTGAACAAATCAGTGGAAGAGAGCACGACTTTAGATTTGGAGTACAGAATGTTATAAATTATCTGAGCTTATAACAAAAGAATCTGGAACAATTAAAAACTAAAAACAAACACTGGAATACTTGAAACAACGTAGGATGAAATCATTATTTTATCCCATGTTATTTCAAATGTTCCAATATTCTGATATTTGTGTTCAAAAAAATTATCCATGTCACAACGATATAGAGAATGTGTTTGCTAATATAATTAGAGGAAACAGACTCCAACCACACTGGTATTGGCTGAACTGAAATAATGAGATGAATAGGAATGATTGAGGACCAGTTAACTACTTATTAGTTTGTTTCTGGGTTATGGTTACTGTCATTTTAAACTCTTTGCTATGGAGAAGCATAATGTTGCCCCTTATTATGTGTTGTGTTTCCACATGCAGATAAGTTGTTTTAATGCAAAAATATGCAATGTGTACACCTTTAAATAGTTTTTAAAAAATTCAATTTTAGGTATATTCCATAAAATACAACTTTTTCTCATTTGCAATGTCTAAATTACTGTTTACTGGAAATTGCCAATATGTCCCAACTAGGAAAGGCTGCATCTGCTATGTTTAAAAAAAATATAAAAGAGATTTGGATTGAAAAATATTCCTTCCTTAATTAAGGAGATGCAGCATGCAAAAACATACCAGGAATCCTTTATCTTTATTATTCCAAACTTGAAAATAATAACAAACAGAGCCTACTGTATATAAAAAGGTGACAAACTTGAAAATAACAATGAACAGAGCAGGTATAAAAATGTGACTTCTTTTAAGTCAAAGTTGAGTCTGATAATTCATGCTCATGTCAGATAGTTTTCTTGACAGTGATCCCTAAGTGATTTGTCACTGCCTTCTTCCACAATGCTTTTGAACACCCCAGTCTTGCATATAGTTTGGAGGGTCTCTTTCTCAGTCAAATGCTAACCAGAGTTAATTTTGCATAATAGCTTCTTATGCTAAGCAACGGATCCTACTTAGATACCTTAAATTAACAGAATCAATTTGACTACGATGTGTAATGTTAGTATCCCTTCTAGTACTAAAGAATAGTTTTAGTCTATTCTTTAAAAAAATAATAGCAATTTATGAATGATTGCTAGAGTACACAAATTATTTATTCAAATATATAGAAAGACATGGACTGAGTTGAAATGTCTGAGAGAAAAATATCAACAGATAAAGGACTTATTTCTTGAAACTTAAAATTATAATTGGCAAAAATATTTTGTAGTGTACTGAACATTGATGCAAATTTTTGGATAGGTATTAACCATGCAATACTGGTTGATGTCATGTGGTCATATATTAAGGCAACTCTCATTTGGATTTAAATAATTTCATATATTAAATTTGTTTTGGAAGATTTATAGTCCTTGTAGACAGCTGGTCATTTGCATTCTTTTAGAGAGTCCTTGGGACCATTTAGAGGCTTCACACACATTTGCACTACTCAGGTGATGCTGAGGACACAGAAAAACTCCAAATGGTCCCAATGACTCTCTAAAAGAATGCAAAATCCTTCTATTCCCCACCATCCGGTCAGAGGTGAAGAAGCTTCTTGGATAAGAAGCAAAATGTCTTCAAAGAAAAACAAAAGCACCTTTGGGACAACCATGACCTGGATGACTGAGAATCTCCACCAACACTATACTAGACAGAGCCAGTGTGAATCCTGGGGTTCTCCTAGCCTCATAACTGCTGCCTGATGAGTAGATGGCAGTCATGGCTAGCAGGGCCTTTGAGCAGCTTTGTCTTGTGTGCCAGGTGCACCTGTTTTTGAATCAGCAGGTCCTGTTTACAAGTCACTCACGCCATAATCACCTCCAAACTAGATTACTGCAATGCACTCTACAAGGGGTTGCCCTTGAGAAATATCCAGAAATTTCAACTGGTACAGAATGCAGTGACACGGGCAGTAATATGTGCTCCTGGAAGAGTGCACGTTACACCTTTATCCAAGAACTACACTGCCTACCTGTTTGCTTCTGTGTCCAATTCAAAGTGCTGGTTTTAACCTTTAAAACCCTTCAGGGTGTGGGACGAGGCTATCTGAGACGCTACCTTTCCCCACTTACATCAGCTTGCCCCATCAGATCTGGCATAGAAGGCATGCTGTAGATCCCATCGATCAGGGATCTACCAAGTGTAGATCACAGAGAGGTGCCTTCTTTGCCATGGTGCCTGCCTTATGGAACAATTCTCCCTCTGAAATTAGATTGGCCAACTCCCTTCTGACATCTCAAAAGGCCCTCAAGACCTGGTTATGTGACTAGACCTGGGGCTCCCATGGAACTAAACACTTGGCAAGATTGTTGAGGAGCCATTTCTTATTCTCCCTCCACTCTGATTGTATTTTGAGTTTTTTAGTATATTTATTACCAGTATTTAAAATTTGTATACACAGTTTTTATATTTTTAATTTATTATCATGCACTGCCCACAGCCGCCTTGGCAAGATGGGCAGCTATATAAACTTGATTAATCAATCAATAACAAGAGTAGAATTCTTCATCAATTATATCATGTTATAGAAAGTTAATCTCTCTTATGTTTGAACAAGTACTTCAACACTGGGAGACTTGTGAACCCCTATTTTGAGATTTAAACCACATGTACTGATTTATATGGTTAATTTCCCTTTTTTGTTCTTATAATAAAACATATTTTACAATTGTAATTATATCACATGATATGACTATACCATTTAAGGCTATTTTTTTGATTGGTTCCTAAGAGCCATATGTTTTTCTAATGATGTTTTTAATTCATCTCTTTATACTTGTAATATATGGCAACTATGGAATTCTCTTTCTAATTAACATTGTGTTGTTATTGTTATTTAGATCTAATGTAGCCATCAATTTAATAGAGCCATAGTCTAGTGTTTTGTATTGTATTTCTTCAGCACTGCTCTAAACTAAAACTTTAATTACTATGTTATGATGTAGCTCCTTGAATACTTTGGCTCTTGGTTACGTATTGCTTTGTGAGAGTACAGTTGTAGAAAGTGGCTGAAATACTTCAAATAAATAGCACTGACATTCTAAGCAAAACATTTACAGTTTGGTCTAGTAGTTAAAGCACCAGGCTAGAAACCATAAGACCATAAGTTCCAGTCCTGCCTTAGGCATGAAAGCCAGCTGGGCTACTTTGGGCCAGTTACTCTCTCTCAGCCCAATTCACCTCAGAGGATTATTGTTATGAAGAAATAGGAGGAAAGAGGAGTGTTAGATATGTTTATGCCTTGAGTTGTTGATTAATAAAGGTAAAATATAAAACAAACAATATTTTCACTAAATACAATTTATACAGATACACATAAATACAATTCTGCCTTGGTGATTTTTTTTCCCCTTGTCCTTTCTTACAGGTCTGGCACTATTTTTTTTTATTGCATTCAGGATCAGAAAAAGCCACCCACAACAGTTACTGTCAGTAAGGTTGGCAGTACCTTTAATGTTTTCCAATAGGAAAGAGGCATAGCTTCAGAAGTGAGTTTGTGGTGATTAATTTTCTACTTCAGAAAGCAAGAGGAAAGGCATTGATTTGAGGCTTGTGCCCCAGAAGGTTCTGCCTGTAGTGGCTAGCAAACTGCTGCCTATAACTGGATAGTAGCAATCTTCTGTGTATCCAAACCTATTTTGTTGTGTTCAAAGAATCATAAAGCACAACCGAGAAGAGTGTCCATTCTAGCACTCTGTATAAGCTGTAAAACAATGAAATTATTTTGAATCGTTCAAAATGATATGAAATTTTTACAAACCTTTTTATATGTTTTCTCCTCATTTTGTTTTTCAGAAGGGGGATCTCCATTTTCAGCTATAGTTTGCATCTGAAAAGATTTAAAAACACAAAAGCATTTTATTTCTAGTGTTTCCCAGAAAGGCAACAGTCAAATTAAATAAAACATAAAATATAAGACATCAATGTACAAACAACAACTTTAAAATCAATAATCTGGTGGTAGTGCAGCTAAGCTATGCCAGACAGTGGGCTTTATAGATTGACACTTATGGACTTTGTTATTATTTCCCCATTCTCTGGATAATTTGTGGAGCCCTTAATTTGTAAACCAAATTTTATCTCTGGATAATCACAGAATATTCTAAATGTTATTAAAAGGCACAGCAATAACAACAACCCTGGAAAGACTTATTCTGGTGCCTGAAAGATAGTAACTAGGAGAACAAGAAAGACGCCTGTAATAAAGACTTTAATTGCTGGGAGATTCATGTTGTAAAAGGTAATCCTTCAAACGTATTAGCCCCAGTCTTTTTAAGGTTTTAAACACTAAAATCAATCCTCAATCAGACTGGAAACAAATCAATAACAATGTACTTCTCTGAATACCAGGTTGATAATATGCTCAGGACAGCCAGTGCTAGTAAATAATGTGGTTCCTCTAATGGTGAATCAAACCAATACTTGTCTAGGAAAGTCTTAAAAGCAATGCATTCCTAATCTGATCAATACTGAAGCATGAGTAATAACAGTCAAACCATGTCTCTCCAACAAAGGAGTTCAACAACAGAGCAACCAAAGCCACATGGAATATAATAAAGAGCTACCTTTAGCTCCTTACAGGGAAAAAAATTGTTTATAAGAATCTTACCCAAGACAAAGCAAAAATTTGGTCTGAGAGATTTTTCACTAATAGTTCTATCTTACCTTAATAATCAGTGATGGCCATCATTTTTTATGATCACCATATTCACCCTAATGGCCCCCTGGATTGCATGGATGAATTATAATCCTAACCTAATATGTCTAGCTTAGCTGGAGGCCTGTTCAGGTCTGTTGGTTTCAGAGTTTACACAAGTATATATACCCTTGTGTATTTATCTGTTTCTAGCTAATGTAGGACAACTATAGAATCATAGGTTATTTAGGGAAATCAGTCCCATCAACTTTGTGCAGGAATCCAAATCAAAACATCCCAGAAAGATGGGTGTCTAGCCTCTACTAGACATCTGAGAAGTTTTTACACATAAATTATATGCAACATTTCCAGTGATCTTTAAAATATCTCTGAATCATTCCGGTTCTGTACCTATGGAGGGATTCTCGGGGCGTTTCCCTGCTGAACAGCGTTGGCAAAAAATTCATGAGTACATCAGAGAATTTTTTATTACGTATAACCAACAATAGATATTGAATGTAATTCTTATTTCTTTATGCATAGAACATGCACAAATAGTGAAAAGAGACAGATGACAGAGCAAAGGCAAATAAACATATTAGTAAACCCACCAAGATAAATACCAATTAGAAAGTTTTACAATTTTAGTGGCAAGCAAAGAGCCAGGAGGTCATAAAGACATGAGTAAGTATGGGATTCTGAAAAGTCTGTCTCCGGTGTCCCAACCAGTCATGTCTCAATCGTCATTAGACAAAGTGAAAAGCCTTCTAGGATATCTTGGTGAACAGATAAACTGGTAGAGAATATGATTGCATTTTCTTTATCCTAGACTCAAAATGTTCAGCTCTTAAAAAAAAAAAAACATTCACCAAAATGGTGGAGTGGGCCTGCAAGCTGATATAGTTACTACATAAGGGGCATAATGTCCTCTCATAGATAACATCTTAATTTAAGAAGGATCATTAAATAGATCATCTGGCTTTACAGGCTGATTGCAAAGCAACATTCAGAAGATGGAGGTTCATAGTTCATGCTATAAATATTCCTTTGCTAAAACCTTCTTTGAAATTAAAATGTGCTAGTTAACAGATTGATGCCTACATTAAACATGTTATTAGTCAAAATGCATGTCCTTCTTATTTAGGTTGTTGATCTACTCTTTCGGTCACTCAAAGAGCTATGTTAAACTCTATGATCATAAAACATTTAGAAACTATCTAGACTCTGCTTACCACTTGTTTAAATTACTCTTTGAAGTTACAATAGAGCTGAATGCCAAAGTCTTATGACAGGTCCTTGAAGTTATGGCCATTGCAGTGTCTCCACAGTCATGATTACAATTCGGACACTTGGCAATTGGCTTGCACTTACAACAGTTGGACAGCCCATGATCATACGATTGCCATTTGAGACCTTCCCTTCCAACTTCCCACAAGCAAAGTTAATGGGAAAACCAGCAGGGAAAGTCACAAGTCACCTCTTGTCACTCTTGCTGCTTTTTCTCCTTTAGAGCCCGAGTGGTAGGATGAGTGTGGGTCCCAGGCAGGCAAGTGCCTGCCCAGTTGTAGTCAGATGATGCCACAGGGCCCTCTCCCTGGCCTGCACACATTTGTGTAGCCCATCCCCCCACGGACACTACGTTGCAATACAAATTCTGGTTTTAATTATCATATTTAATCAAAGACTACCTGTAATCACAAATATATTTTTCCATTCTTACGGTAGGCCTATTTATAGCACCATACTGTTATTAATAATATTAGAATGCCAAGTACCTTTCTTAGCTATGTTACAAACAGTCTGCAGTTGAGAGATGGAGTCAGCCCTTTCATTGATGCAGTCAATTTTTCCAGGACACACTGTTAAAAAAAAAAAAGTACTTTTATTAACCAGGGTTATTTAAAAAATACTTTAATACAGAACAACAAATAAACAAAAGCATGGCCCTACACACACACACATATATAAAATATAATCATTTATGTGTTATTACATTCATACATTATTTATGATCATTCTAATTACAGGGGGTGCTCGATTTACAACCTACCCGAAAAAGGAGACTGTACCCCATTCCCTTTCTTATCTGAAGTTCCAACAGCAAATCCCCCCCATGGTCACATGACCCCACTTTAGGCACTCGGCAACATGGTCACATTTATGGCCATTTTGCGGTGTCCTGTGGGCACATGACTGCATTTTACGAATTTTGCTGAAAACTGACAAAGGATCATATTTATGATTGTGGCATTTGCTTAATGACCACAGCATTCGCATTTATGACTGCCACATTAGTTTAATGACCCCTGCGAAAAAAGTCACACGTGACCGACCGGTTTTATAACCATCACGACATACGATCATAATGGGCAGGTTCTATTATAGTTGTATAGCTCAAGGACTACTCCTTTACACATTTATGAAAAGCAATAGATGCACGTTACATTGCAGACCATTACTAAAATATATTGAAGAATTTATTTCAGTCGACCTTTGTGAGGCTGCCTGAAAGATACATGAAAAGGAACTATGAAGCTAGTTAGCTCATTCATATAGAAAGCTCACTGTACCCACATACAAAATATTATTACAACAGCAAAACCGCACGTGTTTTGAAAGAGGACTGATAGGATCATAATTAGTTTTCAAATCTTAGTTTACCTATCAAGCTTCTGAGATTTTGCTTCCAATAGAAAAATGGACTTCATGCAAAACAATGGGAACGGTTCTATAGTTTCCATCTACTTTTCTAATAACTGGGAAAATAAGCAATTTACTACTGTTTGTGCACCCAGGTTTACTACTCTTCAACCACAAAAAAGTGTATGTGAAAACCTGCTTCTAGTTTCTGAATAAACCCACCCCTCAATAAAAAGGAAGGGATGAAGAGAATAAAAAAAATCTAATGACTGAGAACTGCATCTCGGTCTTGTGACAAGCAACTTTTGTAAAACTATGCTAATTACAGGGCTGCTTTAAAATAAATCCTTTTTCAATATTTCCCCCCCTATACGTATAAATATAATGACATTTTAAAAGGTTATCCCACATAATCATATAACTTTGTACCTGGACATTCTTGGTTATGGTAACATTTAATTTATGGAATCCTAGAATGCAATGCTATTTTATCAGCCAAGGACCCGGGGTAGGGGCGGGGGGGGGTAGCGGCCATTATAAGGGAGAGCCTTTGTCCAAGGGAGACCACTGTGCCTCAGATAGACGGCGTGGAGTCACTCTTTGTGAAGTGGGGGAAAGGGGTGCAAGTGGGCTTATTGATTATATACCTGGCTCCCTGCTATGTATCAACAGCCCTGCCTGAGCTGGCTGATGTGATAGCCGGGGTGGCGGTGGGGACCCCCAGACTTATGGTCTTGGGGGATTTCAACCTGCCATCAGTGGGTGAGACGTCGGCGGCAGCTCAGGAGTTCTTGGCTTCCATGATGGCCTTGGACTTGACCCAGTTAATTCAGGCCCCCACCCACACGGGTGGACACACGCTGGATCTTATTTTTGTCTCGGGCCAGTGGCAGAATGATCTGACATTAGGGGAAATAGTTGTCGAGCCCTTGTCATGGTCAGACCATTCTCTCCTAAGGATGGACTTCCGGACCGCGCCCCCCCGCCGCAGGGAGACGGAACCACCTAGATGGTTCCATCCCAGGCGACTGATGGACCCAGAGAGGTTCCTGAAGGAGCTTGGGCCTTATCCGGAGGATCTGGTCCACGACTCGGCGGAAAATCAGGCGGCGGCTTGGGAGACAACTGCCGCCGCTGCATTGGACCGAGTCGTGCCTTTGCGGCCTCTGACCCGGCGTAGATCTCGACTGGCTCCCTGGTTTACCGGGGAGCTGAGA